AATTTCGAATATACGAAGAAAGTGCGAATTTATAAATTTCAACTTTCTATAATATTTAAATTAATTCAAACTGCCTTCTTGTTTTTTTTTTTTTTAATTCACAGATTTTTTACTCTGATATTCGAGATCCGCATATTTTTAACTCTGCAATTTCTCAAATAAGAGAATTATTCAAATGTATTCATTCTTGATAATATATTGATCGCTAGAGTGAGTAGTTTTACTTGCTTGTTTATAATTACTGACACAGCATCAAGAAGATAGCGGCAAATGTCCTAGTGACCTAACGATAATAATCTGTCACAACAGTATGAACTTCGATCTTTACATAGCACTCTTCGTTTATAAAAACATAAGATAATGCCAATGACAGCATAGATAAAAATTTCAATTTATATCAGATCGGTACAATTAAGATCAGTATATGATATATGGCTAATAGACAAGATCAAGTCGACAGTTACGAGCAAATCATGTAACAGCAAGCTCGCTTAATAATTCATTTGCTATATTATTATTATTATTATTATTATTATGTAAAATCTGTTATCTTGTTCTTAGCCTTTATCAATCACATTTATATGATTTGATTAATTGATATATAATTTTGCGAAAAAAGAAAGAAATACTTTCAAGTATTATTACCCAACGATTCAAGTCCGCTGACGGGAAATAAGGCTCGCTATTATATATATATATATATATATATATCTGTTTTATTCGTAAATTGGCTTAATTACAAAGTTCCCGCACGTAAGCTTGCGTCGCGTATCGCGGTAGCGGATATCTTGGCGTGCGCGTGTCTGGAGTCGAGTTTCGGTCGCGAGACTTACTCCTCGATCTCTCGTAACTTATCTCTATATATATATATATCTTACATATCACTTCCATTTTTTTTTTACTTTTGCTTATCTAACAACTGGAACAACCCAGTGAAAACAACTCTAATTACGTCTACTATTCTAAGAACAATGACCTATCAGTATGAATACATCCGACCATTGGTTATCAAAGCTATTTATTCAGATCAGGTCAAAGTTACTGCTAAAGCCCTGAAATAATTATTCCTCTCTTCGATGACAAAGGCAGATGCAAATAATATGCAAAACAGCGCAAAGCTTCCTTTTGTCTCATCGACTTGAGAAAATCCTCGTCGAACATTCCAAACACACGTGAAAATCTAAGACCCCGATGGGATTAGCAACGGCAGTGCGAAGCTTCCTTTTGTCATCGACTTGAGAAAATCCTCGTCGAACATTCCAAACACACGTGAAAATCTAAGACCCCGATGGGATTAGCAACGGCAGTGCAACCGATTCTAAAATGGCGTGGCAAAAGCGCCGATTATTGTTATGCGATTGTTATTCAATCGTGTCTAAACGAACAGAAACGACAAGTGCGCGGCGAGTCGGGATTACCCAATAAGTAACTTCAACGTAACTTTCTCCGAGAAACACCACGCACGTGCCGAAGGGTACTGGCCTCTGAACTTCGTTTGCGATACCGTGTCTCTTGCTAATGATAAGTACGCGACGTGCGCGGAAAATCCGTAGCCCCGGGATTGCAAACGGTTTTAGAAAGTCGCTCGCCACCGTCCTCTGCATGAATCTATATTTGCAACTAATGCCATTTCGTGTCGCAAAACACCGTGCCGGTAACAGGCTTTACTGGGATTTATGGAGCTTTTTATTTCGCCAGACGTACACATTACGTTTATGTGTGGAAATTTATGGAGGAGTTTGCGATATCGATGCGCAACGTTTCTGCGAAATTATATAGAACTTTGTTGCGGGAATTCAGAAATTTATAACTGCGGACCTTTTATACTCGAGTAACGTGTTAACGAAATTCAAAAAGAAATATATATTTTAACCAATATTTATTTCACACAATCTGTTTGAGATACATCTATTATTCTTGCTAGACTTATTCAGGATATCTCTGTCTCCTTTTAATTCAATTGATACGATGATTAAAGTTAGCTATATATTCCTAGTTACCATATATTCCTGGACTGTCTATACGCAAAATGAATTAAAAACTTTCTTGAAACACTTCAAGGTGAGGAGAGGAACGTGCGTGAAAATCTGACGAGGGATGATTCATCCTCCTTCGATATGTCATGTAATCCCTTATGGGGGCACCATCGTCCCATAAAATAAAGCTTTGTGTCAGAACAAAAGGTATAGAATTCTAGTTTCGATCAATGAGCCCTTTTTGATAAAGAATCATTCAAGCGAATATTCTTTCGCTAACTGAAAGATGAATCTTTTCGATCAGATTCGCATAATACTGCGATAATAACAAAGAAGATAACTTAAAATATTTTATTGCTACTGTACTATTTTATTACATTATTATTTAGATTAGATTATTATACATGTATAATTTTGCAAGCTTATACAACAATTATTCCAATCATTTTTTGTCATTGATATGTAAATACGTGAAATCACAGAATTGGAATTGAATTATTTATGAGATATCGTATTATGAATAACGGATTTAAGTAAAGTTAATCGAGTCTCGGTTACGCCATGACATTACGTCAAACTTGTGCGTATGTATGTGTGTTTATATAAACTTAAGCATATTAAATAAAAAATCTGTTTTAAATTAACTCTAAATCTTTATTCTGTGTCAGTTTTATTTTTCTACCGTTTATAAGAGAATTAAAATTATTCATAATTTCTAATATGTATATGTATATATGTATGCATGTGTATATGTGTATATGTGTATAACATAAAAAAGCTCCTTTATGTACTAGACAGATAAGACACAGAGATAAGATCGAAAAAATACGAAACAAAATTGTGCAAATTAGAAATTTGCACATTGCTTCCTCATAGAGAAATTTTATTTCGCTCACAAAACTTAAGCTCCTTAAAGCAAGCGAGTTTTTCAATTTTGGCTTCCTCATAGAGGAAGCAAATTCAATACAAACTATCCTTTAATGATACTTTATTTATATAAAAAGATTTAACTCGATATCTTAAAATTTGCAAAAGTTAAGACGTGTATAGACATTTCTCAAAAAATCCAAATTTTTATAAAAAATGAACCCTTTCATATACGATACTCACCAAATTCAGTACCAACCATCCTTTAATAATACTCTATCCATGTAAAAAAATTTAACCTGATATCTCAAAATTTGCTAAAGTTATGCGTATAGATATTTCTCGAAAAATTAAAAATTTTATAAAAAATAAACCTTTTCATCGATTCTCACCAAATTCAATACCAACCATCCTTTAATGATACTCTATCCATGTAAAAAAAATTTAGCCCGGTATCTCAAAAATTGCGGAAGTTAGAGGTTGTACAATATATTGCGTACACACATACACACATACATACATACCTCGAAAAAAAATTTTGTCACGAAAACAAAGCTTCCTCTATAAGGAAGCAAAAGGAGACAAAATTGCGCAATAAAGAATTAAAATTAATAATTTGCCTTTATTGTTTTATTTTAATTTTAAAATTAACAATATCGTTAGTTTAATATATGATTCGTTTCTATAAAATGTAAATTATGATAATCTCGTTGCGGTTTTAATATATTGGACACGTAATTCTGAATGTAGGTCAAGTCTGACGACACTTTTCTACATGATTTCAATGACAATCATCCTAAATGCTCCCCTCGTGCAAATTCTTTAATGCTACAGTCGCTGATAATTCAAACAGTTGAAATTGATATTTTATCTTGAAACCAGCCATGGATACAATTTGGACTTCTCGATATTTTAGACATAAAGAAGATGTAAATTGTAAAATCATTGATATAAAACTCCTTCGATTCTACATCATATATTTTTAAAATATATCCTTAATTTTATAGATTTCTCGTGGTTTTATCCATAATATTCAATCTTACATCTTTGAAGTCTTAATTGTTGAAATTATCATAAGTTTCACTTCACTGCCTGCTTTCGTAAAGCTTCAGTTCAGTAAAGTTTTAACTTGACTCTTTACGACACAGATTTATTCGAATATTTCACTTCAGACAAATGACAGATTTTTTCGCATATTCCACTTCAAGGAACATTAAATAAACGAGCCGTGTTATGCCGAATACAGTCATCGACTTAAGCAAATAATAATTTTACGTAACAAAAACGAATAGAGAGAAAGAGAGAGAAAGGGGAAAAGAGGGGGGGGACAAAAAGATTACGAGTAGCACATTTTTCTCATTGTGGGTTTAACGAACCGTACGAGAGATTCTATCCTATACACATATAATTCGACCACAGCAACTTATTTTGCATTTACCGACGCGTAGATATACACGTGTAACGCATTATAAATGCCAAATACTAATTGGATAGCTCGAAATATTTTTTGCATTTGCATAAAGCGTGTGTTTTCTATGCAAACATTTTATCATTTGCACACCGTCCTAGGAATTGTTTGCAGAAAAACGACCATTGTTTTAATTTCTTCATTCCACAAGACTTTTAGTTTTCACTTTTAGTTACGAAAATCGCGATAACTTTATAATTTTACGTAACAAAAACGAATAGAGAGAAAGAGAGAGAAAGGGGAAAAGAGGGGGGGGGGCCAAAAAAATTACGAGTAGCACATTTTTCTCATTGTGGGTTTAACGAACCGTACGAGAGATTCTATCCTATACACATATAATTCGACCACAGCAACTTATTTTGCATTTACCGACGCGTAGATATACACGTGTAACGCATTATAAATGCCAAATACTAATTGGATAGCTCGAAATATTTTTTGCATTTGCATAAAGCGTGTGTTTTCTATGCAAACATTTTATCATTTGCACACCGTCCTAGGAATTGTTTGCAGAAAAACGACCATTGTTTTAATTTCTTCATTCCACAAGACTTTTAGTTTTCACTTTTAGTTACGAAAATCGCGATAACTTTCAATGCCATAGTAATTTAGCAGTACACAACTCTTTTATTAATCTTTTACTAAATGAAATAACAATTAACAGATGGGTTTGTTACTTTCGCTTTCAGATGTGGCACTTGACATGTGTCGATGACTTCCTGAACCGCGCGTTTTACAAAGTTGGCCTCATTGTCGGTCGACATCCCGGCTACTTCGTAATCGTGCCGATACTATTGGCTTGCATATGCTTCACCGGCTATCAAAGGATACACTACGAAATTGATCCGGAATATCTCTTCTCGCCCGTCAACGGCCCCAGCAAGACCGAACGAGCGATAGTCGAGCAATACTTCAAAGTTAATTACAGCCATCAATTCAATGTCGGTCGTATTACTCGACCAGGTGAGATTTTCATCAATCATTCATTCTGCCGATTTCTTCTCTCACGAAGAATTCCATGAATCTAATAAACCCAGAGAATCCTTTTAATCGACAGCTGGCACATAAAATACATAGGATAAAAAAATTTCTTGTATCTATAAAATGCTCCAGAAAAGATACAGTATACAAGGCGAGTAAATATAAAAGTGAATTATTAAATATTGCAATCATTTTTTAACTGAAATTTTTTAATATTAAAATTATTGGATTCATAATCTCAATTCTGTTTTAATTTCGTAAAATAAAATTCACTTTAAGTTAATTTTCTTTAATATTTTTTCTTTTCTTTATAATTTCTATTATTAAATACTTTCATAATTAGACTTCCTCGCCATGTTTGTGTAGAAATATAGTCCACAACTCAATCTCCTCTTGCTATAATTAAAGGTAACATTTCATGATTCTTGGTTAGAGATCAATTAAATCTGTTGCTTGTTGCAGGCCGGTTCGGTCATGTAATTGTGATTCCAAAGGACGGCGGGAATAACATGCTGAAAAGCTCGATTTGGGAGGAGCTGATGAAACTCGATCGATTAATTAAAAATGTTAAAGCAAAATATGAGAACGACGAATTCACATACGAGCAGATTTGCGCACGGTGGCTTGATGAGTGTTTCACCAACGATATTCTAAATCTGCATCACGTGATAGAGTAATCATACTGCAATAAATATGTGCAAAAAAATGAAGAATTGCGTACCCCAATTTAAAAAAAAACAATAGCATTCTTTTTTTTTTTGCTTAAAACAATTTGTTAATTGCATCGAATTTTGATCGAGTCTTCGACTTTTGCAGCGAAGTGGAAAGGCGGAAGCTAAATCTGACATTCCCGATAACGATCAATCCGACCACCTGGGACGCTCATTTGTTGCCGGTATTCTTCGGTGGAAGTGTTCTCAATGACGATCTCACTGTAGAATCGGTGCCTTCAATACAGCTCGGCTATTTCATCAAAGTCGATAGTCCACAGCAAGACGAGATGTGAGTCTACTCTTCGTTTTATTGAGTTCGCGAATACGCTCGCGGAGCTTGTCGCAGAAAAACTGGTCAGTTATCTTACTTATACGCAACAACGATCTTGAAAGTAACCATAGTCTTGACCATAATTCATTCATACGCGAACGATTAGAGTTGCATAAAAATATATACATTTTACATGAATGCTGCAGAACGATACTTATGGAGTGTTTTATTTATTTTGATCGATGATAATATCGGCGGCAATTTTTTGTTCAAAAGTTTTGGTTTTTCACAATTCTCGAGAAATGTGTTTCAAACTACAATTTTGATAAAATATAATTAAGATGCTCAGAAAACTTAAAAAATGTATATAAATGGTAGTCTTTATCTCTAATTTCTGTACTTCTGTACATTCTCTTTGTATATATAGGGCGTTTCATTTTAATCGCCCCAAGCAAATATCTCGAAAAATATGAAAGATATGGAAAAACGTTTCAGACAAAAGTTGCATGGTTTCGAGGGGGCCACATGATAAAAATATGGACTTGACCTTGAGTGACCTTTGTGACCTTTGGTCAATGTGGT